ACTCAGGAGCCTGAGGCAGGAGAATCACTTCAACCCAGGAGGCAGAGGTTACAGTGAGCCCAGATTGCACCACTGCACACCAACCTGGGTGACAGAGCAAGACTCCATCTCAACAAAAAGAAAGTGATCCTAGGAAGAAATGTAATTCCCAGTATTAAAACACCAATACTGCGTACTTTTTCAAGAGCTGTAACAGACTTCATATCTGCTCTAAAAGCAAAGTAGTAAAATTTTTAAAAAGAAAAAAAAGAAAAGATTTCATAGAAAAATTGACTTAGAAACATTCATTCAAATCTTCTTTCCATACATCACAGGATCTCAATAAATTTGAAATCCTAAAATTCTGAAGTTGCTTGGATGATCTCTAAACTCCTAAATTGGTATCATCAGAAAACATTATAGTTCTATATACAACTTATTCAGTTTCCTTAAGCATTCAAGAAGAAACCTGTATGATACAACCTTCTGCTGAGTTAGGTCAAGACCAGATTAGGCCTTATGGGACTCAACGTCTTTTAGGACCCCTTTTTTTTTTTTCATGGATAACATCCCAAGGTGACCCATGTTGACACTGGTTGGTAGAAAAGTCATAGTTCACAACTTTTTTTTTTATTGCATTTTAGGTTTTGGGGTACATGTGAAGAACATGCAAGATTGTTGCATAGGTACACACATGGCAGTGTGATTTGCTGCCTTCCTCCCCTTCACCTATATCTGGCATTTCTCCCCATGCTATCTCTCCCTAACCCCCCAACCCCCGCTGTCCCTCCCCTATTTCCCCCAAAAGACCCCAGTGTGTAGTGCTCCCCTCCCTGTGTCCATGTGTTCTCATTGTTCAACACCCGCCTATGAGTGAGAACATGCGGTGTTTGATTTTCTGTTCTTGTGTCAGTTTGCTGAGAATGATGGTTTCCAGGTTCATCCATGTCCCTACAAAGGACACAACTTAACTTTACAACCAAATGAAGCACTTTCATCTTCAGGATTACTTTCTACAAAAATTCATTTAAATTATTTTTTATTTACACCTCCTAATCCTTTTTTGAGGATAGTGTTTTAAGTCACGTTGTTGCCATATTACTTTTTAAATTTTTAAAATATATACTTACATTAACAAATACAGAAAAATGTGATGTCAATGTAATTTGCATTAAGAATTAACATTTCTGAAAGCTAAGAAATACTGAAAATATTTATACAAGTAAATATATTTGTCTGTTAAATCAGTATCATATTTGTGATTTATATTTCATGCTAATCAGATCTGAATAATGAAAGAAATTCCTAATTTAACAATGGTTTACATTCTTCAAATAATTATTTTCCTTATACTTTACCTCCCTAGGTAACTGATCACATTGCTAATCATGTGTAATGATAATGGATTTTCATGTCAATTAGAGGAATTTGTTATTGTGACTAATTCACTTTACAAAGAAATTTCTAGTTAATTTACAAAGAACCTGTAAGGAATGTTTAGTGCCCTGAATTTTTTAAGCTGCATTTTCTTTTATATATATATTTATTTATTTGTATTTGTTTTTGTTTTTTTAGAGACATGGTCTCACCCCGTTGCCCAGGCTGGAGTGCAGTGGTGCCAGCCTAGCTCACTGCAGCTTCAAACACTTGGACTCAAGCGATCCTCCTGCCTCAGACTCTCAAGTGACTAGGACTTGAGCTGCAGGCCACCATACTCATCTACTTTTTTTTTTTTTTTTTTAAGTAGAGACATGGTCTCATCTCACTGTGTTGCCCAGGCTGGTCTCTTTGGTTAGGGTTAGGGTTAGGTTAGGGCCTCAAGCCAAATACATATACCTGGAAGCAATACTACATCATATCTCTTTTACTGTATGTGAGCATAAATGTGTATACACATATGTGTGTGTGTATATGTAAAACTTCATGTATACATATATATATTTGCTTCCCTCTGCTATGGCAAAATACCATCAAAGAATGCCCCACCGTCCTAGACTGTTGTGAGAATAAACATTTCTATTCTAAATTTGCTTTATATACATGTTGATGCCACTATTTATATGTTACATATTCCCTTATATGTCTAGGAATATGTATGTTTATGTGTATGTTTGTCTTTATTCCTAGTGAGATCTTTTCCTAAGCCCTGTGTCTGTGATTCACTCCAGACATAGCATGGATTCTATTGTTCCCTGAGAGCTGCAGTTTCAAAACAGGAGACTGAGGCTGGGCTCAGTGGCTCTAATTCCAACACTCTGGGAGGCCGAGGCAAGAGGATGGCTTGAGCCCAGGAGTTCAAACCAGCCTAGGTAACACAGGTAGACCCCCATCTCCACAAAAATTAAAATTAAAAAAATTAGGCAGGCAAAAGGATTGGAGAGAAGTTGTCAGAGATTGGTTTTCAATTTTAACTTTTTGTCTGCACAGAGGAAAAAAAGAATCTATATAAAAAAATTTTTGTTATAAAAAAAGGAATTCATATAGAATCTATATGGAAAAAAAAGAATCGATATAAAAAAAGAATTTATATTTTTCTCCAAGAAGCAAGGAACAAACTACCAATGTTCTTAAGTTGCAGACAGCATCTGTACATCCAGTACAGAAATTTTATTTTAAAAGTTCACTCAGGGCTGGCAATGATGGTTCACGCCTATAATCTCTCCCTGCATTTGAGAGGTCAAGGCAGGAGGATCACCTGAGTCTGAGCAACATAGCAAGATCCCATCTCTACCAAAACAAAAAGTAATTTAAAAAATAAAATAAAATAAAATAAATGGCCAGGTATGGAGGCACACACCTGTGGTCCTAGCTACATGGGAGGCTGAGCTAGGGGAAGTGCTTGGGTCCAGGAGATCAAGGCTGCAGTGAGCCATGATTGTGCCACTGCACTCCAGCCTGGGTGACAGAGGAAGACCCTGTCTCAAAAATTAAAAAATAAATAAAAGTTCACATGGGCAAGAAAGAAAATAAGAATAGATTCTGTTAAATAAAATTTATAACAGGTGATTGGTTTGGATTGAGCTCCTATTCCAGGCCTAACAGACCAAACCAGAATGGAGTTACTCATGCTGAAGTTCCACTCACTACCCCAAACTAAGCTGTTTATCTGACCTTCCAAGAAATCAGAAGAAAGAGAAGTAATAGCCAAATCCGCAAACGGGCCAGCTTTAGCGGGCATGATAACGAAATTCCCTCTGCTTTAACCTTTACAAAGGAAGGAACATTGCAATGGGAACCCACTTTTTGTTCTATTTCTGCTTTCTTCAGCCATTTTCTGACTATAAAGTCAACCTCCTCTGCTCAGCTCATCAGAGCACTCCTTTTGAGGTGTTGCCTAATACTAGAATTGCAGAGAAAAGCCAATTAAGATTTTTAAGCTAAATTTGTTTTGTCTTTTGGTAATTCTATAAGGAAAATGGAAAATGAGTGGATGTAGAAAAGGATAAATGGCCTTCAAATATTCTACCTGGTAGCAGATAAACAAAAAAGTCAAGTTCTTACCTTTAAAAAATGCATCAAGTACCTGATTCAAATGCATACCTGCGGATGCATGCAGACATAAACCCCAACACTGGAGCGTACATTTACTCTTTTCTCTACCCAGCATGCAACTGCCCTACTCAGTGGAACATTCATCTTGCTTCTGTGTGGGAAGGGTCAGGCCTTTGTCACACTTTTGACCCTTGTATTTCAGGGTCATCCTCAGCTACAGAGGTAGAACATTCAACCCAGACCTAACCATCCTCCTGGCCTCAGTGATTTGCTCACTTGAGCCAATCAGACAAACCAGAGACAATCTTGGGCATTTTGTTTGAATGACTTGGAAGAGGTCCTCCCTCTTTCTCATTGTGCCTGATGCCAAGAGGATGTAGAGGGTGGAGCAATGGCAGTCATTTTGGCCCCATGAGGGAGAGAATGAAGCTGCCAGCAGGTACCACTGGGGCCTGAAATGAAGCCAGAACTGAGAGAAGAGAAACCACATCCTGATGACAGCATGAAAACTCGAGATCCAGCCATTCTTGAAGCCAAGGTCTGGTTCTGGACTTTTCCTTTCCAATAACCAAAAAATTTCTTTTTTTTTTTTTTTTTTTTTTTTTTTTTCCTTAATTCAGTTGGAATTAGGATTTTTTTTTTGGATTTTGTTTTGGTCATTTGCAACTGGTAGAGTCTTAACTGATAAATCAAGACCCTGACAGCCTAATGATGACATAAGAAATTCACAGAAATTCCACTGCTCAATTGCCTTTATCAGTCATATGCCAAGTGTGTCCTCTTTCTTCATATTTCTAATTCCTTGTTCACAGGACTTCAGTAACCCTGTTAAAGGGTGCAATTCAATCAATGCAAATCTGATATATCAAATAATAATACCTTTTATATGTATCATCTACAAAATTCATTTCATATATGTCTTGTAAATCCTAAAAAGCAGCACTGAAGGAAATAGTATTCACAGTTTAATGACTAAGAACTAACTAAAATGTGGCCAGGCGCGGTGGCTCACGCCTGTAATCCCAGCACTTTGGGAGGCCGAGGCGGGTGGATCACGAGGTCAAGAAATCAAGACCATCCTGGTCAACATGGTGAAACCCTGTCTCTACTAAAAATATAAAAATTAGCTGGGCATGGTGGTGCCAGCCTGTAATCCCAGCTACTCAGGAGGCTGAGGCAGGAGAATTGCTTGAACCCAGGAGGCGGAGGTTGCGGTGAGCCGAGATCGCGCCATTGCACTCCAGCCTGGGTAGCAAGAGCAAAACTCTGTCTCAAAAAAAAAAAAAAAAAAAAAGAACTAACCAAAATGTTTTAAAGTTTACTTGGCACTAAGGCCTCATGGGTAGAAAACAGTAAGGGCCAGGTCTTGTTTTCATTATTCTTTATTATCTTTATGTTGATTATTCTTTGCATCACACCACAAATATTTTTACCTTCAAAAGTATAATTGGCTATAAGTACAAACAAGACATAAGTAAACATTAAGCAAATTAAGAGATATAAGACTTTTTAAAATAGTATAATCTTACCTAAATCAATATCTCGAATTCCCATGTACAATTCAAGAACATCATCAATCTTTTCAATTGCCTTTGCTTTGGTTTCAGAAGACTTTATCAAAAAAAAGAGAGAAATAAGACATTATATAACAAAATCTGTTGATTTTCAGGACATACACAGGAGAAAGTCTGATGTGGAGCCGGTTCATGACTGTGCCCTTCAGCTAATTTTAATGGAAATATATCTAGAATATGACCTATAACTAATACAAATCAAATGCAGTTAATACTTATTTTTAGTGTCAGCACTAAGTGTTATGGATTCGAAAAAGAAAAGCCAGGAACACGGTCCCCAAGTAGCTAACAATCTAGAAGAGAAAATAAATGTGAAAATAAGCAACATGTAACAGTTTGTAAAGGATATAAAAGGCACAGAAGCATCACAGGGGAGGAAGCAAATTTCTATCTTTAACAGTCACGGAAGACTTTAGAGAGAAGGTGACCTGGCCAAGCACAGTGGCTCATGCCTGTCATCCCAGCATTCGGAAGGCCGAGGTCAGAGGGCTGCTTCAGCCTAGGAGTTGAAAACCAGCCAGGCAACATGGTGAGATTCCATCTCTACCAAAAAATTAATTAATCAATTAATTAATTTAAATGATTAGCTGGGTGTGGTGGCACATGCTTGTAATCCCAGCCACTTGGGAGGCTGAAATGAGAGGATCACTTGAGCCTGAAAGGTCTAGACAAGCCTGGGCAACATGGCAAGTCTCAGACATGGTGGTATGCACCTTTAGTCCCAGCCACTCAGGAGGGTAAAGTGGGAGGATCACTTGAGCCTCCCAAAGTGGGGGATTACAGGCATGAGCCACCACACCCAGCCTTCTGACCTCTTTTCTTTCCCCAGTCCCTGACAACAGTTTATCAGCCCCTTCTTTGTGACACTGTGTATCCTGCATCTGCTTCCATTAACCCTATCCCACTGGCTTGTAATCGCTTTTTTCTGCTTCTCTCCTTTTAGAAGAGAAACAGGGTCTTTACTCATCTTCGTATCACCAGCGCTTTGACTGTGCCTGTCTCAGCAAGCACATATGGAATAAAGTATGTAGTTACGCCAGTGGAGAATTGACAGGGTTTGGCTGTGTCCCCACCCAAATCCCATCTTGAATTGTAAACCCCACATGTCAAGGGGGGGACCTGGTGGGAGGTGACTGCATCATGGGGCGGTTTCCCTCATGCTGTTCTCATGATAGTGAGGGAGTTCTCACGAGATCTGATGATTTCAAAAGTGCCGGTTTCCCCTGCGCCCTCCCTCTCTCCTGCCGTCATGTAAGATGTGCCTTGCTTCCCCTTCACCTCCCACCATGATTGTGTCTTGAGGCCTCCCCAGCCATGTGGAACTTCAAGTCAATTAAACCTCTTTACTTTATAAATTACCCAGTCTCCGGTATTCTTTATAGCAGTGTGAAAACGGACTAATACAGAGAACCTTACACCATTTTCAGAATTTGGGCTAGGTGATTAAGGGAGTGATTTGTTTCAAATCCTATAAATCCTTTAAATCCTTAAAGTGTTTGAAATTAGACTTTAAGCCATTTGTATCAAATTTAATATTAGCAGCAAACTTGCTTTTTCCTTTCATTATGAGCTATTTTTAATTGCCCTATTTTACTAAACAGGTTATGAAAATAGGAATGGATTTTTAGATGTTTATCTTTAAATGCGTCTTTCCTACCTCCCTAGGTAGATCTTAACCTGCTCTTTTTTCTTCCAGGCACCTTTGCCACAGCAGGTGCTTAACAAAGAGTGGGGAATGATTTAACCCTTAGAAGACACCCCTCCTCCTGCAGGGATATGGAGTTTTTCCTGCTGACCTGCTTCCTTTGTGAGCTGTTTAAAGGTCTGCCCATTTTTCCTCACAGCCTCCAGCAAAAGGCAGGGCTGGCATTCTCCCAGTTCCCCAAGGCCAGCTCCTTCCCTCTGTTCTCCCCTTCTCTGATAAATTCCTTTCTTCCACTGAGATTTGCTTATTCATTCAATGAACACTTACTGGCCTTCAGCAATATACCAGACTGTGTGCTGGGCCACAGAGGGAAAGTAAAGGCTCCAAACGCCCGGAAGTCACTGCCCTGGGTTTCCTTCACATACCTCATCATATCTCATTTTCAAAATGCTTTTTGCTCCATTGGGTCTTTTCATTGCTATTTGCCTCCAATCAGTCCTTTTATTCCCAGAACCCAGGCATTTGACTCAGGATCTTCCTCTGGATTCCCCAAAACTGACAACACCCTGGGTGACTTGGCATTCCTAAGGACAGCCTTGGCCTCATGGGTTCCTTAAGTGTCTGCTCCAACAAACCACCCCCATGACCAACCCTGGACATGGTCACACAAGTTCTGGGATCCCACTCTGTGAAACAGCCTCAAAACTGTTCACCTGTCTCTTTTTTCCTTCAAACACATAGGAACCTCAACAGCATTCACATATAGACTCTAGAAGGGCCCGGTGCCTTGCCCTTGTCCCCAGGAGCTCACAGGCATCAGTTACCTCTTCCACCTCCCCTCTGCCCACCTCCCTTTTGCCCACAGCAAAAGCCCCCATGCTTTTGCTGCTGTTGTGGGCCTGCTGCTTGTCACTCGAAATCCCTACCACCACCACCCCAACCCTGTGGGTTTCTTCCTCCACCCTTCTTGCCCCTCGTTGTCACTTTTCCTTCTGGTGTTTTTCACTCAAACACTGACCTGTATATAGATAAAGTCAGTCAAAGGGCAAAACCCTTGTTTTTCTCAAACTAAAACAAATCATTTCTTAATTCATTAATGGAGCAATGATTTCTGTTCCTTTGGTATATCAGGTCCTATTCTAGGTGATGGGGATGCAACAGTGAGCAAGACATGTGAGCAAAGGAGCTAGACAGTAGACAAAATTAAACAAAGACATAAAGAGTCCTAGGGTGTTTAATGCTGATATGGTTTGGCTGTGCCCATCCCCACTCCCCCGCCCCCACAAATCTCATCTTGAATTGTAGCCCCCATAATCCCCACATGTTGTGGGAGGGACCTAATGGGAGGTAACTGAATCATAGGGGCAGGTTTTTCCTGTGTCGTTGTTCTCATGATAGTGAATAAGTCTCATGAGATCTGATGGTTTCATAAAGGGCAGATCCTCTATACACACTCTCTTGCCTGTTGCCATGTAAGATGTGCCTTTGCTCCTCCTTCACCTTCCACCATGACTGTGAGGCCTCCCCAGCCATGTGGAACTGTGAGTCCATTAAACCCCTTTTTCTTTATAAATTACCCAGGCTCAGGTTATATCTTTATTGGCAGTGTGAGCTAATACAATTGCTTTGACAGAAACTAAAGGCATGGAAGAGTGGGCAGTGGGAGAGGTGGAGGGAGTTGCTATTTATACAGGATGCCTTTGAGATAGATAATGTGTGGGGAGAAACCTGATGATGGCAAAGGAGCAAGGCATGCAGATAAATGGGCAAAACATTCAGGCAGAGACAGCAGTATCGAGAGCCTGAGATGGGGATACACCTGGAGTGTTTGGGGACAGCAAGGGGACCAGCATGACTGATGCAGAGCATGCCAGGGCAGAGGGGTGGGAAATGAGAACAGAGAAGAAATACAGAGCTCGGTCATGTTGGTCATTCTGAGGACTTTAGCTTTTATTCTGAGTGTCATGGGGAGCCACCGGAGGATTGTGAACAGAAAAGTGACATAATTTCTCTTACATATTTTAAGGATCATTCTGAGGGCTGTGCTGAGCACAGGTGGAAAGAAGGTGAAGGTGAACACCGGAAGACTGAACAGAAGGTGACTCAATATCCAGGATAAGAGGATGGTGCCTTGGGCCACAGTGCTGGGCACGGGCAGTGAGAAGCTACTGGACCCCAGTGTGTTGTACAGGTAGGTCTACTAGGATTTGCTGATAGAAGCGACGTGGGACATGAATGGAAAGAGTCAAAGATGATTACAAGGTGTTTTAGGTGATAAGAGGAGTTTATGAATCTAATCTTTCATTATCAAAATCTCCTACAGGTAGCTCTGACACTTTTTCTTGGCTCTCAGAGAGCTTTAGTTGACTTAAGTTTTTGATATAGTCCAGCTGTCTACAGAGTCTAGAAACATCATCTACAGGTGGCTGAGAATTTCTACATGTCACAATCTCTTCTCATGTACTTAATTTCTATATTTCCTTTCTAAATACCTTCGGTAATTTCCAGATTGTTTAAACAGACAATGAATTCAAAGTCCAAGTTTTGATTAGAATGAATGGAATTCTATCTAACTTTGTGATTTTATCTTTTTTTCCAGTTCCAATAATCACACGTATCTCAACAATTCCAAGCAGAACAGAAAGTAAATGAACATAACATACCACTTCCTCCAAGGTAGCAGGACCTTTTGATCTCAGGCGAAGTGTTCCCCTTCCACGACCAATTATTTCTTCTGATGACTTTTCAGCCTTTGACCTCGGCTCTATTTCTACAAATACACAATGAACAGGGAAATGTACATATACACAGAAAGAATACCAACAGATTACTGTGAAAGCTAATGCAGTTTCTATCACAAAACTAAATACAATTGTTATAGAAATTTGATAAAAGGTAGGCCTTCTTATAGAATTCACCAAAACAAAATAAATTTACTTGGCATCCATTATTCTTATAGGAGAGTATGAGAGAGTTCTAACTCCAGGAAAAAGGAATATGTGAAATGTACAGATCGGAAAGACAAAGTTACAAGGAAGAAAAAAATAAAACAGTGGGCTTTATAAAAAAGAGTAAAGAGGGGTAAGTGGTTTCATCAAGGTCACGAAAAAAAAGAAAAAAATCATGTCTTGAAAGAAGAGAGGTTTCTTCTCCTACTGGACCAATAAAAAAGAAAAAACCAAAAAAAAAAAAAAAATCAAAGAAAAAAAGAGAGAAGAGTGGGACAAGAGCACTAGCCTCTGCTTGATGCTTTATGTTAAAAAATCCCATGTAGTACTCAGACCAACCTATGAGACAGGTGATTGCCTTCATATTACCAAAAAGGGAAAGGAAGTCAGTAAGAAATGGGGCTGGGATTCAAAACCACGTCTTGCGGGTACAGACCAGATTTCAAAGTCCATATGCTTTCCTGAACAATGCTCCAGCCCACACCTCCTGGAAGCACAAGGGATAGAATCAGAGTTGACATAGAAATAGGGTGCAAAAGAAAAAGAGCCTGCGAGCGGGTTCCAAGGAAGGAATTCCCCACAGACAGCAAGGACAACAGCAGCGAGCAGGAGCCCACAGAAAGCCACTATTTTTCTTACGCTTGGTTCTTCTGTTGTGTCTTATTCTGTATTTGCAACACACTAAGAGTAACCACCAAACATGTTACCAAGCAGTAACACAAAATGAGTGAAAGGGAAGGGTGATGAAAGAGGATAATTGGAAAAAATGTGCCCTATGGAGGCCCCACTCCAATAACTTATTGTGCTGTGGGAATATAAGCCCTGCAAAGCCAGATCATCCACTTTTTTTTTTTTTTTTTTTTTTTTTGGCAAAGAAACTGGATACTCAGGCCAGGGCGGTGGCTCATGCCTATAACCTCTTTGAGAGAACAAAACAGGCAGATCGCTTGAGTCCAGGAGTTCAAGACCAACCTGGGCAACAGGGTAAAGTTCCGTCTCTACTAAAAATACAAAAACTAACCCAGGCATGGTGGCACATGTTTGTAGTCCCAGCTACTTAAGAGGCTTAGGTGGAAGGACTGCTCGAGCTCAGATGGTCAAGGCTGCAGTAAGCCATGACTCTACCACTGCACTCCGGCCTGGGCAACACAATGAGACCCTGAGAAAGAAAAGAAAAAAAGAAAAGAGAGAGAAAAGAAAGGAAAGAAGGGAGGGAGGGAGGGAGGGAGGGAGGGAGGGAGGGAGGAAGGAAGGAAGGAAGGAAGGAAGGAAGGAAGGAAGGAAGGAAGGAAGGAAAGGAGAGAGAATAAGAGAAAGAAGAGAGAGAGAAGGAAAGAAAGAGGATACTCAAATTCACAGAAATAAAAAAAAATTAAAAATAGAAAAAATAAAAATAAAAAAAGAAAGAGAATACTCAGAGTTTTGTGTGCATCTCCTGATTTTTAAATTTTTTAAGTTTGGGCAATTAAATCAAACTTTTAAAAATAACATATTGGCAAAAACAAAAGAGATCTATGGGTCAGATTACAACCACAGGACACAAATTTATAACCTCTGTAAATATTGTGAGCTTCCTTGACTGAGGACTCCGTATGGCAGCAGTTTAGGGGAAGAGGCAGGTGGGAAGGGGATGCTGCACTAAAGCAGGGGTCTCCAAACTCCAGGGCTGCAGACGTAGCAATCATGGCCTGTTAGGAACCGGGCCACACAGCATTTCCTTACAGCCTGACCTCTGCCTCCTGCCAGATCGGCAGCGGCATTAGATTCTCACAGAAAACGAACCCTATTGTAAACTGCACATGTGAGGGATCCAGGTTGTGCGCTACTTATGAGAATCCAGCTAATGCCTGATGATGTGAGGTGGATAAAAACAGTTTTATCCTGAAACCATTCTCTCCTGCCTGCCCCATCTGTGGAAAAATTTCTTCAGTGCGGTGGTCCCCAATCTTTTTGGCACCATGAGACCAGTCCCTGGTGCCGAAAAGGCTGGGGACCACTGCGCTAAAAGAACCGGAGACAGCTGAGCACTCCAGTGAGGCATCACAGGACAGGATGGTGAGCACGCATAGGCAGTGAGGTCTGTGCAAAGCTCTCATGACATAGACATCAAGTGGCCTGCATTCTTACTTAGAACCTAGGTGATATGGTTTGGTTCTGTGTCCCCACCCAAATCTCATCTCGAACTGTAATCCCCATAATCCCCACAGGTAAAGGGAGAGACCAGGTGGGAAGTGATTGGATCGGGTGGGGAGGTTTCCACCATGTTGTTCTCATGATAGTGAATCAGTTCTCATGAAATCTGATGGTTTTGTAAGGCAGTTTTCCCTGCTCTTGCATGCTCTCTTTCATCTGTTGCCATATAAGACATGTCCGCTTCCCCTTCCGCCATGATTGTAAGTTTCCTAAGGCCTCCCCAGCCATGTAGAATGTGAATCAATTCAACATTTTCTTTATAAATGATTCGGTCTCAGGTACGTCTTTATAGCAGTGTGAGAACAGACTAATAAGCCTGGATAATTACTATATTCAGTCAAGTACTGCTTTGCTATTGGGAATCTATGCCAAAGTGATTAAGGATTTTGCAAATTAATTTTGCATATTAATTTTGACCTGTATTCAGGAACAGAATCACCAAAACTTAAAACTTAAGTTTTCCTCTGAGAATAAACCTATTAAAAATTATCATGTAATGAGTACACTAGCCTCGCCTAACCAAAAACCTATAAACGGTGGCTGATGAGTTGGGGAACACCCAAATGCTAATCCTGGTGATGAGACATTCACAGGAGACCAGAGCTGTATCAGCAAGCCTATAGCATTAGCCTTGGTAGTTATAATCTGTCCTGTGTAAGGGAAAAAAGAGCTCTCATGCATTCAGCATAGAGTTTCAAAATGAGTACAGAAAGAAAAAGTCTAAGTTGACCTGTCCAGGACAGGATCAGCACTGTCCAGGGTTCTGTACTGCCTAGCAGTGTAAGTGTCCCCAGCCCAGAGTCATGTGTATCCCTAAAGCAGTGAAGATATCCTCGTCTTAATGGTAGTAATCTTAAGACAAGCAACCTCCTTCCCTGACTCCACTGCAATTTCACCAAGCAACATACTTGGTACAATTTGTCTGCCCAAATAAATTTCCTAAAGGGTGAAAAATGAACTTCTCATCTAACACATGTGTTTTGGTTTACCACTGAATATATATTTCTAATTGCAAAATAATATATTGCCATTCTGATTTTTCAAAAAGTGTGTCTTGTAAGTTTGGTGAGCATGATATAGCCCTGAAAAATGGAACAACTCTAAATACATTGAAAAATAAAAGGTTCCTGGGACTTATAAAGCTAAGGACCCAGCCTCTGAAATGCAGGGCATCACAAAGGTTGTATCATCCCTGCCTAAGAAGTCAGCTCTCCTCTCTACATGATGCTTCTATCTTATCTTGCTCTTACCTGAAGCACTGGTAGCCAGGGGGGAAAATGTATGTAGCATGGAAGAGTTTTCATTAATAAATTTGATAGAGCAGTTTTAGGTTCACAGCAAAACTGAGCAGAAAGTACAGAAAGTGTCGATATGACCCCGATCCCCACTGCACAGGCACAGCCTCTCCAGCACCAGAGTAAGACTTCTGCTACAACTGATGAACCTGCATTGACACAAGGCAATCACCCAATGTCCATAGTTTAGAGTTCACTCTTCGTGTTACTCATTCTATGGATTTGAATAAATGTATATTATAATATGGATCCACTATTGTAATATTATACAAAATGGTGCTTCTGCCCTAAAAATCTTCTGAGCTCCTCCTATACATACCAGGTTTTTTTTTTTATAATTATGTATTTGCCAAGCCATCGTCTCAAAGGTGGCATCTCAAAGCTAACCACATGGTGGCACCAAAGCAAAAGTTAAATTTTAAATTCTGGCTTAGACCAGGCTCCAGAAGGGCAGTTTTCACCTCTAAGGAAACAGAAGCCATGTTTCTCTACTAGCCTATGATTCAGGTACATAAATCAATCTGTTTTTACACAAGAACAAGCAGGATGGTCCTGTTCACCCATAGGGGGAAAAACAGGTTTCGTGTTTTTGAAATGTTTTGGAGACCACAAATGTTTATAGCCTGGCCTACTTTCGGCGTGCTGGCCTGTCTAAGCACGTCTGGCCAACCAGGTCAAGCCCTAAATCAGTCAGTTCACATGAACAGATCTGCATGAGGCTTCTCTTGGGGCTGAGTTATGAGAGGGATGCAGTGGATACAGCAGTCACTGCTACCAGCCTGCACCTGCAGCTAGCTGATTCATTAGATGTATCAGGGCTCCCAGTTGAGGGTACTGGTCATCCGCCTGCCATACATCACTTAGGGCACAGGAGCACACAGCTTGTGGGTGCCTAACCACTCCCACCGTGGAGTTGTACGTAGCCTAAGAGCAGTCAGGTTTGTTCCCAGACCTTTTTGTGGCAATTGTATCTGTTACTCTAATTATGTGCTTTAATTTAAATATGCATGAGCTGATGAAGTGAGTGCAAAACAAGGAGTTATTAATGCTATGAAAACTAGGTTGATGGTTGACTGCCTTGGAAAGACTCCGTAAGGGTCAGTTGCAAAAAAAAAAAAAAAAAAATTAGTTGTGGGCAAGATGACTCTAGGAGATTAGAAAAAATATTTTTGGCTGGATGCAGTGGCTCATGCCTGTAATCTCAACACATTAGCAGGCCGAGGCAGGAGGATCACTTGAGCTCAGGAGTTCAGGACCAGCTTGGGCAATATAGCGAGATCTTGTCTCTACTATAAATTTTAGGCTGGGTGCCATGGCTCATGCCTCTAATCCCAGCATTTTGGGAGGCCAAGGTCAGCGGATCACTTGAGCCCAGGAATTCGAGACCGGCCTGGGCAACATGGTGAAACCCCACCTCTACAAAAAATACAAAAATTAGCCAGACAGGGTAGTGCGCACCTGCAGTCCTAGCTACAAGAGGCTGAAGTAAGAGGACTGCTTGAGCCCTGGACATTGAGGCTGCAGTGAGTTGTGATCACACCATTGTACTTTAGTCTGGGTGACAGAGCAAGACCTTGTCTCAAAAAAAAAAGAAAAAAATGTTTTATTAGCCCGGCATGGTGGGATGTGCCTGCAGTCCAAGCTACTCGGGAGACTAAGGTATGAAGATCATTTAAGCCTGGCAGTTTGAGACTGCAATGAACCACAATTGAAATGAAAAAAGAAAATAAATTTTTAAACAGCCATCATTTTCCATATCTGGGTTTTTTTTAATGCAATAGAACCCACAGGTATGCATTAAGGTTGTGATTACAGAAGGCAGACATCATAGAACTCCAATTTGTGTCTCCACTCAAAAGGCCCTTTACTTTTTATTCTTTATTCAAAAGAATAAAAAAAAGAATGTACACTTCTATGTTTTAAAATATAGAAATGGGAACTGTCTGTACTTTCTGCTCAGTTTCGCCATGAACCTAAACATTGTTTTTTAGTTTTTATGCTGGGAGTACAAGAGCAGGTTTCTTACATGCATAGGTTGCTAGTGGTGAGGTCTGGACTTTTCACGTACCCATCACCCAAATAATGAATGTTGTTCATGATTCACATCTATGTTTTAAATTAAAATAAAATGTTTATATACACATGTATCATTCTTTACAAGAGCCTATTTTAACTGACATTTTTAATAAACAGGCAAACCCCTAGTTTCTGCTATTTGGTGATGCTCAGGTAGAGAAATGGAGGAATGGAAAAGGCAGAAAGGTGTCTGTCTTACTCCCAGAAGCTTGTGACTGGGCCCTAGGGAAAGAAGCAGTGCTGGAAGAAGATGAAAGCACTGTTGTCGGGAGTAGCACATGCAACACGGCTTAGATCCTCAACTGTCGAAGAAGCAGGCAGCGGGGGGCTGGATATTCTCCCCTCTTCCGCACAGAATGAGGCCTTGCTGTAGTTGGCCCAGAGTATGGAGCAGGGCATGGGCAGAGACCATCATTTCAATGTGAAGTGGGCACAGATGGACACTGCTGTATCCAAGTTGCTCAGTGAACAAGAAATAGCCCAAAGACGCCCAGAGGGAAGAATGGGATGCTAAAGACACAGAGAAGGTCAACAAGGGTGCCTAACAGGACCACACTTCCTTGGAGCATGTGTGAAACCCTTGAGAACATCTGGAAATAGTTATAAAGGGGGAACACTGTAGTGGGCTGAGGGCCTGTGTGAAAAAGAGGTAGGAGACAAAAAATAATCAGTGGTGTTTTGGTGACAAAAAGGAAACAAACCGATCACTTTACTGTGAAATAAAAGTTGTTCTCATATTTCTGATTAGCTCTCTGCTGAAAGTGAAACCCTGTTAAAATTTTCCTGACTTCTCAAAAGCATATTATCTGGCTCTCTTTAAAACATCTTGCAAGGTCTTAAGTACTGAGGTCTGATTATCACCGCCATCACTGTTTTCAAATGTGGTATCAAGATGCCTGTATGTAATGTTCTCAGTTGCATTCTGATCACTGATATCTACTGGTTTACTTGAGAGAAAATTAACATTTTGATTCAATCTGTACTGTTATCCATAGCATTGTGGTTTAGAGCATGGACTTTGGAATCAGGGTACCTGAGTTAAAATCCCAGCTCCAGTCCTTGCAAGTTATGTGACCTTGAGGAATAAGTTCTCATCTACAAAATATTTACACCTATTTACAGCATTGTTTTAACTCAAATAACTACTGTATTAAAGATGCTTTGCCCAGTGGCCTGGCTTATGTTAATAGAATGCTCCTGCTAGAGTTTACAATTTGCTTCTCCTGGTGTGTTTCAACCTGGAGAGAGAGAAATGTGCTCCTCCACTCTCTCCTAAAACAACAATGTAAATAGGTTTTCTCTCTAAAAAATGAAATATGCAAAGGTTCCTCTTAAAATGTTCAGAAAGCTGTCACTTGAAATATCAGGGGCAAAGTTCTCTTCTTCATTCTATTTTATTTCTTCTATAAAACAATATGATCTCTCCCTAAAATTTAGAGCAGGGTGGAAACAACAGATGACCCTCCCATTGCTCCACTCTGAGGTCCTCCAAAGTGGATGAGTGTAAGCCCAGCCCCTCACAGGGCACTCAGTAATGGGCTCCTTCCAGTGAGGAAGGGGAATAAGGGTCCACTGAGGGGCCAGAGAAAAGAGTAAAATCCTTGGACTCTGTGGTCTCTGTTTCTCCCTCCACCCCACCCCAAAAATCCTGCTAGAATTTTATGACACCATGTGTACAAGTGACTCCATCCCAGAAAATTAAACATGCAGCTCCCTCCTCTAAGCACTCATGTAGGGTGAACTCAGCTATCTCGTCAAATTCAACAGTCAGTTTCTATACTTTCCATCTCTGAATTTACAGAGCACCAAAAGAAACATCAAAGGGTGGGCTAGGTGGCAACTCAGCAGCACCCTGCAGGATGTGTGCACCAACAGTCCTCAGCATTGCAAACCCAGAAATGCTTATTTTTTTTTTCAGTGTTCCCAGAGCTGATCTGAATCTTAGGGGTTGATTCACAATAACCAACTTCACAAAGAACAGATGTCACCGGGAGAGATGTTATCAAAGACCCAAGTGGGCTCCTGTGCTTCCTTCTCACACGCCTAAGACTTCCTGGAGAAAGTGACTTATAAGCAGAGAACCAACCATCACAGGTAAAGACAGCAAGGCTAGATGGGCAAAGGGGAGGAATAGAGAGGGGAAAGTGTTCTAGGCTACATAGTTCATCAAGTTCAGAGATTCCAAAGGCAATGAATGGAGAGTTTACATTTCCAAGTCCCTCCCATTTAGGCAACTCTTAATTCATTAGTTCTCTATCCCTTCCAGAAATGATTCCCTTGAAGTTTTTTCTTCCCACTGGATACCTGAGAGGTTTAATGTGCCTGTCACCAGAGCAAAGGACTTTGGCATTAAGGACAATTCTCTCAGGACAAGACTACAAACAGGTAGTTCACATTTGCACATAGAACACAGGCATATTTGTTGGAGGTGCAGTGTTTTCAGATTTTTTAATTAGTTGCAACTCTTTAAATATTGGGTGCTTTCTTACAAAAATTCAAATTTTAGGTTTCTCATGGAGAATGACACATTTCTGCAAAGCAATAATAATTAGGGTCAACAGTTCTACCTGGGCTCTGCAGCTCTCTGCCCTCATTTTCAGATATCTCTCAAGGTATAGAGGTTCCCTCTACAGATGGATACCTATCAAGCATATATAATGTCCCTATATTCATCTAGGGACAGTCAAGGTAAATCATTTGGGGTAAGCCAAAGATAGTGTCTTTTTTTTTTTTTTTTTTTTTTTTTTGAGATGGAGTCTCACTCTATTGCCCAAGCTGGAGTGCAGTGGTGCGATCTCATCTCACTGCAACCTCCACCTCCCAGTTTCAAGTGATTCTCCTACCTCAGCCTCCCGAGTAGCTGGAACTACAGATGTGTGCCAGCACAGTGGCTATATAAAATATATATATATATATATATATATATACACACACACATATATATACGTATGTGATGTGTGTGTGTGTGTGTGTGTGTGTGTGTGTATATATATATATGTTTTGTTTTTTTTTTTAGTAGAGACAGGGTTTCACTGCGTTAGCCAGGTTGGTCTTGATCTCCTGACCTCATGATCCACCCGCCTAGGGCTCCCAAAGTGCTGGGATTACAGGCGTGCACCACTGCACCCGGCTGGTAGTGCCTTTTTTTTTCACCAAGCATTTACTATATCCCGGAAAACAGTATATAAAATTATTTATATGCTTTTTAAATACTTATAAAACTATTAAGAGATAGGCATTATTATTATCCTAATTTCATGATTGAGGAAACCAAGGCCTGAAAAAGTGAAATGATTTCACCAGGGTCACAGACAACAGATAAGTTGGCAGAGCTGGAATACAAGGCCAGGCAGGTCCACCCTAGAAACACTACTTCATTTTGCATTCTATTGAAAGTTATGAGGTGCCATTGGTAAACAACATTCCTTGGTTGTTTTAGTACCCGCTGGTCATTTAAGGATCACTGTGGTTCAGGGGAAGCTGACCGCTCCTAGCTTCAGATATGGGACACAAGAATGGGCCAAGCCAAACTGATCCCCTTCATCACAGTGATTACCTCAGAGGCACACATGTGACTAAAGGCCACAAGGTCTGAATAAATCTCAGGACTTTTGCTAGAAATTCTGAGACAAAGTCTCTGTCCTTTTCTGCTCTGCATAATAAGAAAGCAGATGGTCCCAGCAGTTGCTGACCACCATGTTGGAACACAGTGCGGAGCTAACATTAAAACAATGTCTAAATGATGAAGCAAATACATCAGACAGGACATCAGAGCAGAGAGAAAAGGCAAGAAACTGGGTCCTGGGCACATTGTATGGGCCCCACACAGAGCTTTGCTAATGCCAGCATCACTCGTGGACAGCTAGTTTGTATGATTCCCATTTCTGCTTAAGCCAGTATAGTAGGGTTTACCACAGTCTCCAAATGAAAAACACCTCACAGATACAGAATTCTGTCCAAGTAGTGAGGCAACCCATCTGAAAAGAACTTCCAATGCTTAGATATACACCAACGGCATTGTCCATAAATAGCTCATGTGCTCCCTACCCCACATCCACCCCCAACCTATGTACACACTCCTCAGGATAACTGACATAAAATCTAGCTTGTGTCTCAGAATTTAAGATCTTAACTACACTCCCTTTTTCCATGTGTCCTTCCTCTCTCCAACATTTCTGAAACTTCTTTAGAATAGGCTTTTTAAAAATTACAATTATTAGGGTGCTGAGACAGATCAACAGCAAGGAAAAGGAGGCATATATTGATGCCATCTACGTGAAGGTGTCCATTGTTGTCTATTGGACCAAACAGGCTGCCCACACGTGAACAAACCCCACAGCGACAAACGTGGCTCAACCATTCCATTGGTAAGACAGAGCAGGGCATGATGCATATCAGAAGTGCAATCACTGTGCCGGAAATCTTCCTGTTCTTTAGCTAAGGTGTCATTTAAGAAAACCCCAACCCTGTTTTCATAACTCCCTAAAACTGCAGGCAAAAATTAATGTGCATCTCTGGGGAAAAGTTTCACACCTTTAATCCAGAGGAGATTATATATCTATCTCCCTGCTATCCCCTCCCCTAGTTCCCCACCACCCCCGCAACAGGCCCTGGTGTGTGATGTTTCCCTCCTGTGTCCATGTGTTCTCGTTGTTCAACACCCACTTATGAGTGAGAACATGTGGTGTTTGGTTTTCTGTTCTTGTGTCAGTTTGCTGAGAATGATGGTTTCTAGCTTTATCCATGTCCCTGCAAAGGACATGAACCCATCCTTTTTTATGGCTGCATAATAATCCATAGTATATATGTGCCACATTTTCTTTATCCAGTCTATTCTTGATGGGTATTTGGGTTGGTTCCAAGTCTTTGCTATCGTGAACAGTGCCACAATAAACATATATGTGCATGTGTCTTTATAATAGAATAATTTATAATCCTTTGGGTATATACCCAGTAATGGGATTGCCTGGTCAAACGGTATTTCTGTTCTAGATCTGTTAAAGGGCACTTACAGTATTTAACTCAATATTTTTAAAATGAATAATATTTTTCTTTTCTTTTTTTTTTTTTTTTTTTTGTTTATTATGAGATGGAGTCTTACTCTGTCGCCCAGACTGGAGTGCAGTGGTACAATAGTGGCTCACTGCAACCCCCGCCTCCTGGGTTCAAGCAATTCTCCTGCCTCAGCCTCCTGAGTAGCTGGAATTACAGGTACCCACCACTACGCCCAACTAATTTTTTGTATTTTTAGTAGAGACGAGGTTTTACCATAATGGCCAGGTTGGTCTTCAATTCCTAACCTCAGGTGATCCACCCACCTCCCAAAGTGCTAGGATTACCAATGTGAGCCACCAATCTGAGCCTCACAAACATTTTTCAACACATAAATAGAATTGCTTATCTGCCTAACTTATCTGAAAACATATTCTGACAGGAATTTTGTACATAATTCATTAGATCCATTTTTCTGTAATTAAATGACAATTCCCATTGTAAAAATACTCTCAGGCAGAATATATATTATTTACATAATTGCCATTTTTCTAATAATTAACATTATAGTCATACTATTTAGATTAGAAAAGCCACTTACATTTAAGCATCATTTTTTACCCCTTCACCTCACATTGCTATGTTAATTAATAAGCGTTAAAACAGTTGAAAACTATTATCTACCAACCTATTCATGGTGTTATTAATTCTAAATGCTCCTTAAAAAACATTACAACTCTAAGAAATCAATCACTGTTTAGCATAAATATCTTGAAAAATATAGCTTACAAGTTTTTAGTATTATAGATTATAATAATTTCATTTTTCTCAGATTAAAAACTGAGCATTTGATAAAACAAATTTAATGAAAGTTTACAACTAGAGTAGAAAGGACCTATACTTAGGTATCCAGCTGGGTCTCTACCTTGAAAACCAATTCATCAATTACCCTCAGCATTTGTCTAACACATCTGCCACACCCCACAAAAGGGAACTTGTCTTTCTTTATTCATCTCCACCCATGGTATCTTTGTGATAAATACTAAGCCAAAGTCTAGCTAGATACGAAGAGGCCAGGACAAACTCTACTACAGAATAAGATGATTGACAGCATGCTCTGCCCTGCAAAATTTGTCATTGTGTACACTAACTTTGCCAAAAAAATACATGAAAGAGAGTACCACTGTCGGATAAAATGCAATACACATGAAACTGAACTTCTCTCCCTGACTGTCCCCCAAACCATTTCTACATCCCAACTGCCTCATTTCCAATTATAGCATCACTGTTACCACAGGCTTCTAGGATAGAAATCTTGGGAGGGACATTTGCTTCTGAACCTTCTCTCCTCTCCCCTTTAACTAAGTGTCATCAATCTACCTCCTACCCCATTTTTACCTTACAATATTACTCATGCTTTTTTATTTCCTTTGAATTCCCACTGCTGCCCCAAATCCCAGCCCTGATCATTTCCTCCTGAACTGTTGCAACAGCCTCTTACATGGTTTCTCCTCTCGTCAAATATAGCCACATTGGTCTCCTGGGCCTAATCTCCAAGCATCTGCTTCATCATGTCATCCTTCAGTTTCGGTATCATCTAAATGATTCCCTATTACTCTCTAAAACAAGCTTGGGTTCCCTGCCTAGTTTTCAGAGCTCTTATTAATGGGGTCCTGAGCTGCTTTTGCAGCCTGATTTGCTACAGTCCCTGCAAGGCTAGGCTCCTCCCTGTCCTGAACACTTCTCACAGGAAACCTTTCTCTTATCTGTTTCTTCCCATTCTTCAAGGCCAAGATCAAATGCAATCTTTTCCAGAGATCTTACTCTCCTAGTCCAGCCTACTCAATATTGTTTTCCCTCTCTGAACATCCATTTAGATTTCTGCAGTGGCTTTTAAATTTTACTCCGCAATTCTGAATGTGAGAAATGCTGAACTGAATCTGACTTTGAGTACCACAACCACCACCCCACCCTACCCCCCGTATGGCACAGGTTTGGTGAGAAATTTGGCTCTAATATCCTTATACCATTCTATCAGATGTCCTGTTGCCTTTCATGAGAATAGGACATTGGTCCCTGATACTGGTGGGACCTGCCATAAACCATCCGTCCCATAGCTCTCTTTTCTGAGGAAGTTTCTTTCCAATCTTACCACTTCTCCCAATCCCTATCACTCTCTAAGCCTTAGGACCCCTCCTCATCATGGCCAAGTCAGCTCTCAGATGAATTTCACCGTTTAAATCTGCACTATAGCATGTATCATGGTCTGTATTATGCTCTGAAGAGGCAGTAACACATAATGTTCAGAGCACAAGCCTCAATAGCAAACAGGACTGGAGTGCTATGCCCACACTTATGCCTGCCACTGGGCAGCCTTAATGAATTAACTGCCCTCGCCTCAGTTTACTTAGCTGGAAAACCCTCACAGGAATAGCATAAGGATTAGTAAGTCGGGCTATAATAGCAGTAGTCCTAGTTGCAATGGCTTGCAATTACATAGCACTGTTCTAAGCACGGATATACATTAACTCATTTCGTCCTCAAAATACTTTACGGGTAAGTAAACAGGCATCTAGAGGTGTTAAATAACATCCCAAATCATGCAGTTTAAAAGCAGCCAAGATAGGAATCAAACCCAAGCAACTGGGCTCACAGTCTATGCTCTTGACCGCTATACTATATTTTATTCAACAAATGGTAGCTATTATTGTTAGTAAAATTACTTGATTGTTAATGTATCTGCCTATTTATGTAAACTGTAAGCCCCCTGAGGACAGCAAGCATGCTGACTCCCTGTAACAGCTGTTAGAGAGCTGGCTCTGGAGGCGGACCGAATGGCTTAGAAGTCTGCCTCCCTCGCACACTAACTGTAACCTTGGGCAGGCTGCTTCACCTTTTAGGATGGTTGTGAGGACTAAATAATTTCCTATTTAGAAAGTACTTGGAAAAACGAATGGCAGCTACTGTTATGATGTACTGATATATTTCATGAGTTGATATGAGATGTGATATTGTCATCTGTCTCTCCAGAATCCAAACAGTGCCAGAGTTGTCAACAAATACTTGATCACCAATTCATCCACATTCCTTTTCCTGTCTCACGTGGGTTTGTCTTGTTTCTAAAATTATTCCTTAAAGAAAAGGATACGCCTTTGTAATAATAGTAATAATAATAGATAACTCTTATTGGAGACTTACTAGGCACCAGGGACTGCTCTATTCCTTTTTCCTGTGTTTAATCATTTAATTCTCACACCAGCCCAACGTGGTAGACACATCTTCACATTTTGTATGAGGAGACCAAGGCACAGAAAGGTTAAGTAACTTACCCAATGTCACATATCACAAGCCAGTCCCTGGCACAGGCTCACACTTAAGTACTGCAATTTGTTGTTTTTGTAACTTTTTTCAAAATATATTCCCAAATATATTTTATAGAATTCAGTATATATGAAAAGGTACTGGAAGTATTTACTGATTGACATTTTCCCTAGGTATAGCATGAATAATAAAAAGTAATTTTTGAACATTTGAAATGTCTATCTAAAAAGTCATATAAAACTTAAAAGCCACAGTTTATCTCTTAATATCAAATAGGCTAAGCCTTTGAAGTGAGTACATCAGTTAAGCTGAATCACAAAGATGAGGTCCGAGTTTTCCAGCTGTGAATGACTCAAAAGACTGAGACGCACTTCACATACTTAACATCCTATTCGGATGGATACACAGCACAGAAATGAACCTTCTAAAAGAAGACATAACCCAATGTTCTGTTACAAAATCTAACCCTAAAACAAAGACCATAAATGCTTTTTAAACTTGCCAGGATAAATGAAGTCAAGACTCATTTAAGTGAAACCAAATCAAAGCTTCATGGAATTAATTGTTATTTTTCGGCATTTAAAAGACCTTATAGAAAAACAAACCACTTGGACTGGTCTGGTCTTAGAGTCATTTAAATGGAAGAGGGATTTTCATGGCCTTGGGAAAATCTAGGTTTACAGGGCAAACTGCAGGGTTGAGCTCATTGTAAAGACATGTTCCTTTTCATTGGCAAAAGGAGAAAGGAAGTGA